CCGGACGCAGAAAGAGACCTTGGAGAAAGACGCAAAGAAGCGTGGAGGTTGTACGCATTGCGTTAACAACTCACTCGACATTGTGGGCGCGAGGAAAACGTGGACAAGTTTAAGCGTTCACAGGGGTGGGTCCTCCGTTGGGAAAGGCGATGGCGACAGGCCGTAAACGAGAAGTAGAAATCAGCGTGCACGCTCCCTCTCCCCGCGCCCCCACCGCCGCCCGCAGCACCATGCAACGCGGCCGGAGAGTGGCGGGCGAGGAGTTCATGTCATTTGTCGTTTGAGGCCGCAACTGGTTACCGGGATGTTGAGAGGTAGGTTATGGATATGAACTGAGCAATCCCGGTAGTCAGCTTATAGACAACTGTTGAGTTCGTCGGTTTTGTTTTTTTTTGTTATTTATTATTTTTGTCTTATATTTGATGTTTAGCTGAAAACTTTTATTATACGCTAATCCTCTGACATTATCTTATAGGCTTATATGCTGTGATTAGGTTGAAGCCGTAGGGTCAATGCAACAGTCCGCTACAAACCCTTTGGTATAGTGGTTGGATGTAAGCCCGTGAGTTGTGATGAATAGCTGATTTATGAATAAATATATTGTTTATAAATTGTATTCTTTTAGACTACTAAATATTTAGTTGCTAAAGGGAAAAGGATTTTATGAAAACTGGTGTGTAAATGGCGATGGAATATAGGTGTAAACAAGTATCAAAGAATCATCTGTTTAATACTTACCACTGTGAGTAAATATTATCCAGTTTGTTTCGACGTGTCTTTCGAGAAAGCTATGTATATGTTGGACTATGAGGCACGCACCCTAATCCGGTTATCCCAATAGGGAAATGAAGCTAAACGGAAGTTGAAGTACCAGAATTACAATAACACACAACGAATTTTCCTTCATATATTGTGTTTAACGTTCATTTCTGTGATATAGTATAGCATATCGATATATAGTCGCATTGGCCCATATTCATATGATCATATTGAGGGGTGTTACAGGTATGTAGTTTTTTTTTTTGTGAGCGACGCTAGTGTCTCAATTCTGGTAGTGGTTGTAGGTGGCGGAATTTGGGAAAGTGGACTCAATCCTATTCCACGCTCTTGGCAATTAATCGTCAGCAAGACGATTTGCTAATTATTTACTAAGCCGTAGTGGAAGTATTAGTTTAGTGTCTTCGGTAGAAGAGTTTTTTCACCAATATGACGCAATTTATGAGACATACTGACTAGTAGTGAAATCAGATTACGGAGCGCCATTACGCGTCACACGCACAGTTGGCATCAATCTTTCCACGATTGGCGATCGATTGGGACGCAACAGCAATGCAGGTCCTGATCGGAACGATGTGTCCGCTCAGTGTTAAGATTGGCCACTATAGTACCAGCGCATCTCCAAATAAAGGCAATGGCAGGCACTTTAGAAAATAACAAAAAATAAACCAACATGTTGATGTTGGTTTATTTATCGTTTATTTTGTTTGTACTGGGTTGGTCGAATAATCGATTATTATTCGCCAGGGCTGCCGAATAATCGATTTTGATCATGGTCAGTTTCTGGCAACCCTACAATCAACATATATAGAAAGATTTCATCACCAACTTTAAACAATCACCTTTAAAAAGATGTAGACGGGTTATTGGGTTTTTTTGTACTTTTGCAAACCTTGACATGTTTTATAAAGTGCCAACTCACTGTAGATGGACGCTCTGCTGCTTGCTGACTTGTTTAGGTGAGCAGTAAAGATGGAGTCCAGCGAGGAGGGGGGCCTCAGTGTGGGCGGCTCTGTGGGCGAGGAGAACTACTTTCTTGGATACACCTTCACCGACCGCTCCCACTCCAGCCGGGTGGTGAAGAGCATCATGGACCTGTGTGTGGGGGACAGCCTGTTCGCTGACGTCACCATCAACGTGGACAGCAAAGAGTTTCAGCTGCACCGGCTCGTGCTGTCGGCACAGAGCAGTTTCTTCCGCTCCATGTTCACCTCCAACCTCAAAGAGTCCCACAACCGCTCCATTGAGCTGAAGGATGTCAGCGCCACTGTCTTTCAGCTGCTGGTCGACTACATCTACCACGGCACGATTAAACTGAGAGTGGAGGAGCTCCAGGACACCTATGAGATGTCAGACATGTACCAGCTGACTGCTCTGTTTGAGGAATGCTCCCGCTTCCTCTCGCGGACAGTAGAAGTCAACAACTGCCTGCAGGTGAGTCACTGTTTTAACACGTCTCTGCTACTTAGTCACATTTGTGTCAATTGTATCAGTTTAGTCATATGACCTTTTTGCCCAGGTGATGTGGCTTGCAGACAGACACAGTGACCAGGAGTTGTACACCGCAGCTAAGCATTGTGCCAAAATCCACCTGGCCCAGCTGCACCAGACTGAAGAATTCCTCAACCTGCCTCTCTGTTTGCTCTTGGACATCCTCAAAGGTATCACCGGTTTGCTGTCCTATCACTATGTGGCCTGGCGTCCCAAACTGTGTTATCACATTTACTCAAAGTCACGCGTTGTATTAGTTACATTACCGCTAGCATGAGCCCCAACGTTTCTTGTCTGCCACTTAACTAGTGACGATCTGAAATTGACAAATGTAAAAAAACACCTCATGGATGTGACTCACTAAGCTTTGTGTTTTTTTTCAGATGGAGTTCCTAGTTCCCAGAATCCAAAAGTGGCCATTGATTCATGGATAAACAACAACAAGGTGGAGAGAGAGGAGTTTTCATGCATCCTCCAAGAAAATCTCAAGGTAGCTCACTTTCAACTCCTTTTTGTATTTTGTATCCAATTCTTCCTTTTTTTTGTTGTTGTTTATATTCAAATGTTGTTTTTTACACATTATGCAGTATACAAACATCGGCACACACTCAAGTCATCCCCTGGGACACTGGCCAACACACCAAGAGTAAAAAATAACAATAATAGTAACAGATATATATTATCAACAATTTAAATAACAAGTAAATAGAATAAAGATTCTTCAGCGACTCTGTAAAAAGTTATGGTCGTCAGTTACAGGCAATTAGTTATAGTAAACATAATATACCGGTCCATTCAACAGTTAACCCAAGGGCAATGCATAGGGAGAGGCTGGATTTCTAATTATAAAGAATGAGGAGTCTTGGTGGTGAAGCTTTATAACAATGTACACAAGTGTTACTAATTGATGTCTGTTTGAACTATTTTGATCTGTAATGGCATAGAATGTCTTTCTCTCGTACATCCACAGGAAATCGGGGAGAATGTCCACATTTACCTGATTGGTAAGGAGGAGGCGCGGACTCACTCGCTGGCCGTGTCGCTTCACTGTGACGAGGACGATTCGATCAGCGTGAGCGGCCAGAACAGTTTATGCCATCAGATCACTGCGGCCTGTAAACACGCAGGTGACCTGTATGTGGTGGGGGGGTCCATCCCTCGCCGCATGTGGAAGTGCAACATGCACACCATGGACTGGGAGCGCTGCGCCCCGCTGCCCAGAGACCGCCTGCACCACACCATGGTCTCCGTCTCTACGGAGGACACTATCTACTCACTGGGGGGAAAGACGCTGCAGGACACTCTCTCTAACGCCATCATCTTCTACACAGTGAAGGACAACATGTGGACAGAGAGCAGCCAGCTGGACACCGCGGTGTCCGGGGCCGCCGGTGTGAACCTGGGAGGAACCATCTACCTGCTCGGGGGGGAGGAGAACGACATGGACTTTTTCACTAAGCCGTCTCGACTGATTCAGTGCTTTGGCACCGACACACGGAAGTGCCACATCAAACCTTACATGCTGCCGTTCGCGGGCTGCATGCACGCTGCGGTGCACATGGACGTGATCTTCATCGTGGCAGAGGGAGACTCCCTGGTCTGCTACAACCCGCTGCTGGAGAGCTTCACCCGCCTGCGCTTCCCCGAGGTGTGGAGCTGCGTGCCTTCTCTGTGGAAGGTGGCCAGCTGTAACGGCTGCATCTACGTATTCCGGGACAAATGTAAGAAAGGAGACGCAAACACGTTAAAGTTCAACCCGGCAACATCCGTCGTCTCGGTTATCAGAAGTTTAAAAATCTTCCTCACAAACTGGCAGTTCGTCTTGGCCTAAACTCTCCTCTGGAAGTCATACTGCGCTCCACACATTCACCACAGACAATCAGGGACAACTAACCATGACTTCACTCTTCAGACATCCGCTGTAACTCTATTTACTCAGCTGGTTTCTGTGCCACTCATTCCATGTGTGTGTGCGTGCGTGCGTGCGTGCGTGCGTGCGTGCGTGTGTGTGTGTGTGTGTCACTCGCTTGTGTTGTTCCAGTGTGTCTCCTTGTGAAGTCAAACAATGTGTAGTGATGCTGTGACGGTGAAATAATAGACGTTGTGTCCTGTGCACTGCTCGTTTATTGACACGCATGAACAACTCCATTGTAAAAACGTGACTGAACGTAAAACATCCTTCAGTATATTGTGTGTGGTTAAACGTGTCATGATGTTGAAGGATACATATCCTCAGATGTCATATTTGAAGTCAAATGTGCATAAACCTGATAAGAGGATGTTTTCTAACTTTTACATTTTTCACAGTTTCTTGTCTTGCGATTGTATTTTTTGATGTTAAACTGTAACAGAAATGTCAAATATATGGCTGTAGTTGCAAGCTTTCATTGTTTGTTCTGATATTTATGTCCCTTAACCCTTTTTGCATTAACTATCTCTCACTATTGATACTTTGTTTATTACCAGAGATTTGGTATCTTTACTTCCTGCAGTTATACCGCAAGGGATTTAGAAAGGGTGGGATTTGTTGCTGTGCTTTGGTGCTTTGGTGCTTTGGTGCTTTGCCTCAACAAAGACGTAACTCCTAACAGTATTTATCTTTGGATTGGCAATGCATCTTGTGAATGGTGAGGTGTTAAAGGTGCCTGTTTTGTCCTTGGGGGAGAACAAGAGGAGTAGAAGGAGAGAAAGCCACTACAGAAAGGCCACAACTCTCCCATTGATGTGTTACAGGAGGCTGTGCAGCTGAAACCCAAGCCCAGTTACATGTCAGACTTTGTGAACTATTCTAAGCATCAGTTGCTGACGCCAAGATGAAGGGGTGGGGGTTTCTGGGGGAGCATAAGCGGTGGCCTCCATAAAAGTCCAGAACTCGCACGAAATCAGGGTCAAAAAGAAGCTCGAAGTGGCCATTAGCAGAGCAGCACCGCATCCTGACGGTCTGCAGCTGTCCGGCATTAATAAATTCGGCCACTAACGCTGTTTATCGAGGCCNAAGCACGCCAAAGAGGTTACAGAGAAAGACCAGTGCATGACATTAAGGATTTTTGGGAGATGGCCCTGTGGGCCATCTAAGCTAATTTACAGATGGCCCTGAGCAGGGCCATCTGTAAATTAGCTTAGATGGCCCACAGGGCCATCTCCCAAAAATCCTTAATGTCATGCACTGGTCTTTCTCTGTAACCTCTTTGGCGTGCTTCGCACTCAAATGCGAACGCATTGTTGAGGTTGAGCTGTGATAGACAAACGTCTTTTTGCAGAGCTTTCATTTAACTTCCTTTGGACTTGTAAGTTTGAAGTAGTTTCACGAGGAGGAACTCTTTTTACCTGCCGCTTTGTTCATCTTTAGTCGCACGTGTGAGGGAGAGGGGGGGTGGGGGCGGGGTCGGTGTGTAGCGTGCTGCAGCAGCAGTCTGCTCTGCACACAGTCTTCCTCCAAGTTTACAGTAAAACAAACTGGTGGTGTGACCAATGGCCATTTACAATTATTAATAGGGGTGCACCGAATGGGAAATTCTTGGCCGAAACCGATACCGAAAATAGGAAACAGTTGGCCGAAAACCGAATGCCGAAAAGACCGAAAATGATTAATTATATATATATATATAATGTATACATTTTTTACCAATGTTGTTCAGCTGCCTGATTATGGAAAAATAAATGATTATGGCAAAACTTTACTTAAATAATAATCACTATTATGGGTCCATAAAACATTTATTCAGCACTTTTGAATGTATACAGTACATTAATTCCAAGTCAAGTGCATTTTCTTTTCTCTGTAGGATAACTACAACAAAGTGCATTCAGAACAAAGCCAAGGTTCTTTAAAACTGCATAAACATCTAGGCCAGTAGGCCTTCAACAAAACAGTGTAAATAAAGACTGTAACAGCCAGGCCTTCAACAACAACAAATGCACCTATAAGTGCATTCATACAAATGTGCAAACTGGATAAATCCACATGAATGTAACTATTTACAAATGAAATTACAATTGAATTTCAAGAATCTGTAAATAAGGCTGTCTGTCCTCATAAGCAAAGTAGTAAACATTGTATAAAGATACATAAAGTGAAAACTGGATACAAAATCCACAATCAATTACAAATTAAATTACAATTTCAAGAATCTGCAAATAAGGTGGTCTGTCCTCATGAGCAATGTAAACAACATTGTATCATTTAGATACCGAAAGTACAATATATTGNGTCCAGCGCGTCAGTACGGGCCGACGTCAACCTCTGGGCGTGTAGATGGAAAAGACCTCGTTCTTGTATGGCGGAGAGCGTGTCGTCGCAATGGTGGACCACACAATTAACACACTCATCTGTAGATTGGAAACTGTCGGGTGTAGTTTGTGGACACGTTTCTAGGCAGGAAGATGGTGGCCCCAGTCTCTGTAACCACACGTCTCTTGCCGGCCCACCGCGCGTCCCCGCCTCCGTGCAGCACGGGACAGTCTACGTCTTGTTGACAGGGTTTACGGAACGCAGAGGAGTTCCGAACTAATGCAGTCTCGCGAGAGCGCCGAGTACGCCCTTGACCCACCACCCGGATCCGCCCTCGGAACGTCTTCGACCACCCGGTTTATACATCCCAGTCTCCTTCGCCCTCAGCGCGATCGCTAGGACTCCCACCTCCTCCACCTCTTTCTATAGTTCCGCGCTGTCCCACCAGTGTGGCAAGGGACAGTACTAAGGGAGGTGACGAAGGACAGAGTAAGTCCCTAGCTCTATCGTTCTAGCGTATGACCTGGGTAGGTCACGTAGGTGGGCCTTGCTAGGACGGTATAGGACTTCCCTTGAAGACGTGTAGAGTTGTGAGGGTGTTCCTTGCGTTCGGAAGGGCGAGCGTGTTGACTCGCGCTCAAACCCCGCGACCGAGTAAAAAGACGCGTGGTCCGCACTCCTGGCTTCTGACGGCGTGTTACCCCAAGCCCTACCGCCTCCCCGGAAAGTACACGTCGCCACGACGAGGCAGACACCTTAAGGGAGGGTCTGGATGGACTCCTGAGGTGTCTGGTGACTACGGAAGTTCTTTCCCCGACTTTCATTGAAAGAAAAAACTTGTATCGAAAAGCTAATCTTGACACCAACAATACTCAACAGCAAACCCAAACTGTATCTAGTCCTCCTCCGCGGTCCGTACATCGAGGTACGGCAGAACGCCTAGTAATCGCCACTCGTGACTTCCAGACTACTTGTCCACTCCTTCATACGAGTAACTAATCTTAGTTCTTACAAATCCAATAATAATACATTAATCGTCCACACCTCTCAGATTAAACAAGAATTTTCTCTCTTCGCTACCTCTATCTCACTGTTACTGTACCCTCGTCTCGTCTCGTACGGCACTCTCACAGTCTACCCGCACTGCAATGACCGACATCTGATTCATGATATGTCAATCCTTCCATTGGCGTAGCGTCAAGTCAAGTAGCTTTACGACGTGGAATTACCAATAAGTCGACGACATAATATCCTGACACATAAAGTCAACAGCTGCACTTCATGTACAATCAACCGCTCAAATTCAACTCATCCCTCCACTTCTTTCTGCCGGTTTACCCTCACTCAAGAGTACAAGACCTCTTCACTGTAAAAAAGACGACATAGCACTATTGAACTTGCAAGTGCTTGGAACACCTGGATTTTTGACATCCATGCAATTGTCTTGGTTTTCAAAACTACTTGGCAATGTCGGGATGGGCAGGACCCCTCACAAGGACAAATCATAACACTGGCTGCGGCAGACATTTCGCAATGATACACTTCGACGTCACGTCGATGGCATGGCCCTCGCCCGGCACCCCTCACCCGCTCCGTCGAGAAACACGTGGCCACATCTTCACCCGTCTCATCACGCGACCCCGGTACAACCTTGGAGTGCAGTCGGACGCCTCCTTCCTTGTCCGGCGACAGTTCCCGCGAAAAAACACTACCACCATCACACCTTCTCAGGTACAGTCCCATGTACGTCAACTACTACTGTCGGCTCTCCGGACTTCGACGCACTGAGAGGGTGGCATTCAGGGTAACTACCCGCTCACACAGGGGGACACAGGGAGAGCGAGCACGACGAAGGACATCAGGTGCTTAGTCCGTGCGGCCAGGCAACAAAACGACTGCCACTTCTACCTCCAACACATAGGGACCGTGCGTTCTGTACCCAGTCCACAAAGCCCGTCGAGGACAGACATCCTCGGCCACGCAGCTAACGGCCAGCCACTAGACCGGGCTACTGCCAGCTAGCGCCAACTAAAATAGCTTCTGTTTTGGAGCTATTTAGTTGCAGGAAGTTTTCTCGCATCCAGGCCTTTATCTCCTCTATGGAGGTGTTAAAGGATGTTGACGGGAGCGGTGACGATGATGGTGACAGTGAGGAAGCATGTGGGATAGAGTCTGTCTTTATATACAGCGTAGCAATGGAATGATATTCCATGCTTGCTCATGACACGGCCAAGGGGCAGAGTGTACAGGGTGAACAGAGTGGGCCCGAGGACAGACCCTTGAGGGACACTACAGGTGACAGGGTGTGTCTGGGACCTCGGACCTCCCAAGGAGACGGACTCTGCTCTTCCAGACAGGTAGGACTGGAACCAGCTCAGGGCGGAGTCAAAGAGTCCAATGGTGTATTGGAGGCGCTGAAGGAGGATGTTATGGCCGACAGTGTCGAATGCTGCAGTCAGATCCAGGAGGATGAGGAGAGATGGGGAACCAGGTTCAGCCGCCATCAGCAGGTCGTTTGTGACCCTGACCAGAGCTGTTTCAGTGCTGTGGGCGGAACGGAAACCGGACTGGAATTTCTCAAAGATGCCGTTTAGTTGGAGATGGTCCTGAAGCTGGGCGGCAACTACAATGATGTCTACCAGCATGTCATGCACTCACTGGCTGTGGCACAACAATTAGTTTGTACTGAATCGGAAAGACAACATCATTCACCAAACTCAAGACCCATCTCAGCGAGCTCAAATATCTGGCCCATTTTGGACTCTCTGCTAGCTTGGAAGAGTCTTTGCCAGTCGCAAGAGAATTTGCGCTTCTGCTATATGGAAAAAAGTAAATTGGACTGATGTGCACAAACTTGGATGAACTGAGGTTCATAATTGCATCAACAACAGATGCAGCCTCGGAAAATCTGCCGCCAACAGAGGATGCATTTCAACAACATGTAAAGAGCAATGTTTCAGACAGCGATATGGTGTCACAGCCCGAACCCAAACCCTTGTTATGGAGTCCTGTTGGCAGGGGCTGGATTGTCAGAGATGGGGCCATTCAACCAGTGCTATTTACAAAACCACCAGAACCTACAGAACAGGGTTTCCGCTAGGATTTTTTCTTGCCAGTCAAACGTCCGGACAGAATTAATTTTACCGGACAGATTTGAAACTTACCGGAAAAAAAAACAAAAAACAGAGGGGTTATAGGCAATATCTGAGACTTCAAAGGTCTTTTATTTTGAAACTCTACATCAGATTTTCCTGATTTTTGCTGAGTGACTACATGGGGTGTCCTGCTACGGTGAAATGAGTCTTTGATACTGGAGAGATTTTGTTTTATTCTTATCTAAAAACAGAAGGATTATAGCCAATATCTGAGACTTCAAAGGTCTTTTATTTTTGAAACTGTACATCAGAATGTCCTGATCTTTTCTGAGTGACTAGATGGGGTGTCCTGCTATCACCCTGGAGTGAGATGAGTCTTTGATACTGGACAGTTTTAGTTGTATTCTCATCTAAACACAGAGGGATGATAGCTCATATATGAGACTTCAAAGG